CCCTACAGACCAGTCAATTTTTACTTTGGAAACTGCCCTTTAAGCTTATAAAAAAGACCCGAACTGTCCCCTTTGGTGCATTTATTATGTACCAGAGAAAAAGACAAGGACAAAAGAACTGCTTAGCGCTCTCCAATACATGCAGACAGGATCCAAGTCAAGACTGTTAATGTTATGGGTGATGCTAAAAAACAACGGTCTGTCTTTGCTTGAAAGTCCAACACCTATACTGACTCAGATCTCCCAAGGATTTGGTTTTCAAGGCACGGTATTTCGATCTGAAATGGCATTCTCAAAGAAAATCAATTACTGGTTGAAGAGTTGCTCCAGTGCAATGATTTCAAGGAATCTGTATGGTCAATATTTCCAGATACCCCTTTTTTTTAAAAAAAAAAAAGCAGAATGGATGCTTGACAGGTAAGTGCTTGGCAGTGTTTCTAGAAAGCTGGGGTATTTAAGATCTAGTTACATAAACTGCTTACTGTGAAGTTGTTTGTTCTAATGAAGTTTTCCTGAGGGTGGCGGTTCAGTTTCATTCTGCCACTCTGTAACTTTAGCCACAAATGCACAGTAGATTCATATTTAAGCAGCTGAAGCTAGTCTCCTGGCAGGTATTTTGAATAACGCACCAGGAGCAGCATTATCTTTTGTAGCCTAGATGTCATTGCAGATTATGCTTATCTCTGCCGGAGCACCTGAGCAACTTGGGGAGGTTAAATACCAGGCTAGTAACCTGGGGAGGAAGTAGTGTGAACTACAAACATGCGCCAGAGTCTTGTCAGATCAGATCCAGATCAATCCTTCTTTCAGAGAAATATTTAGAGTCAGACCTGAGCATTTTCACAAATATAGCAGCGTTATGGCCATGACCTTGCTCCTTTTTGGAGCTTATTCCTGCAAAACCACTGCAAGCTGAGTGACACTAAGTGTCTTAAGGCCACCTTGCATGCTTAAAGCTGTTCTCCAGACAGGACAATAGTAGGTACCATGTATTTGTATATCCATATTATACATACATATTGGTGCCTAAAACCTGACTATTTTTTTTCCAGTGGAGAAACACTCGGTAAATGACAATTATGTTTGAATGGGAATACAGTGAGCTGCATTTTCTGGTCTTCGCAAAGTCTGCTAAATGCCACAGAAGATCACGTTAGTATAATTGTATCTTGTGGAATTAGGTCTTTTGTGAAGCTTTGGTGATAGAAGACATATTATTAGGCAAGAGGCCTTAGTCTGTCTCTGCAGGTAATGTT